CCTATATTTTAATCGGGTATGGCAACGTGATTTAATTTTTAACGTGAAATATCTTAATAACGAGTTTCGAATTAATATTTGTCGAGGTAAAATTAAAGGAAGCTAAAAGTTTGTCACCTGTTCACATAGCTGAGATTTAATCTATTGAACTAAATTGAAGTTTTAATCAGCGGTGTATGAGAAGTTATTAATATTTCGATACTGAAGAAATATTCTGCTTGATGGACGACCGTCGTTCCGCTTAATGTGAATTCTATATAGTAATCATCATTTTATTTTAGCTGTATAATCAGCTACTTATTCTTATCGGCAATCAGCAATTTTCCTTTCTCACGCGAAAGAAGGTTACGTAAGCATCACCTTGTTTCAATGTCACTTCCTTGATAGAAGCTCGAATTCGATATACGTAAAGTGATAGCGTTTGGCGAAGTGAAATTTTATTCATCGTCAAAAGTAATAGATCATCGAATCGATAGAAATTGAAAGCTGATGCAATAGTTATTTTATTCAGTGGGACAAGTAAACAGCCTACACGGGATATATTATTATTTAGGTTGCTAGTAATAAGTTGAGCGATTGCTCAACGAGAATATCACAATAACTAAAAAGGTGCATTATACATGTATGCTCCGCGTCCTCTCGCCGGAAATTGTATCTCTCTGCTCGTACAAAAATAGTGCTGTCTGCGACAGTAAATCTGTAAGTTTCTGTAACTTGACGTTGCTGGATACAATCGAGTTTATCACATCATATTTCCGTCTGTGTAATTTTTTTCGATAACTTGGTATGTCTCCTCTGCAACGTAGCGTAGCTTAATATAGCCGGATTTATCGCATTATATTTGCGCCTGTAATTTTTTTTCGATAACTTGGTACCTTCTTTCTTGGCAACGTCTTTCAAACTCGTAACGTGAAGTTGTGCCTCAACACGTTTCACGCCGTAATCGTAACACTTGATGTCCACTGCTTATATGAAAGTCCAAACCTGAGAAACGTTGTCCAGTAGTGACATTAATTAAACATCGTTAGCATATACGGTAACTCGTTCGATAAAGGGTTGTAATAGACTCAGATAGAAGGTGTAGCGCACCGACATCACGTAACCTGCGGACCTCCTTTTATTCAATTACGTCTACAATCGCGCCGTGCTAGTATAATAACCGCTTCGCGGATGTTTGATATTATGCTTTCATTATTGTTGCGAGGGAACTCGCTTATAAGACTTTTTGTTTGCGCAGAAATTATGAGACAGCCAAGCAAATTATCGTACTCGTGTATACAGCACCACTACGTTTTATTTGTTTTTAATTGGACTTTAATGAATGACACATGTATAATCGCCGATGTAATTACTCGCGTTCGTTGCGTAGTTTATGCTTACGTAAATAGTGAAAAATCTTTATGTCAACAACAAGCAAGCGTGTACGATTATAACGATATTATTGGCAGTTAATATATGTATATCGCAAAATAATACAATTGTGCGATTCGATTATTCCATTTATCCATCAGCCGTAGTCGAATTCGCCGTCTCTGCGCATGACGTTAGTTGCGTCAATAACTCATACGTCAATGTAACGAAGGACCACAGGTAATAAGTAATTTTCTCAAGTGACATGAATAATTACTGTCCGTTATCCAATCATGCGTAAACAGTGTCGCCTTTTATTGGACAACTTGGTCATGTCGCGTTATCTCACGAGTGTTTTTTATTTGGTCTGACTAATAGTCAAATCGATCTAGAAACTGTTGACGGACCATTTTCCTCTACCTAATTGACATCTCCACCTAACTCACGACTCGAGGTATATCATTAAAAAAAACTATAAACGTCATATCTTATTCATTACTTTCTGTTGAAAAATGTTTCATGTTGAGTAATTAATTTTCGGTTCAATTGACAATACAAGTCCGTCGTCGATACAAGTTGTCCCACGGCAAAGATTAATGCCGACGTCTTAACGTGCGGTATAATGATGAAGAATTGTATTTTTTTCATACACTCATTAATTTCAAAGTTTGCACCGTGACTAATCAATTTATTACACAATTTTTCCAAGTTTAGACATCTCCATAATATAAAAGTATTGTTTCTCTAAGGAAACAATGTACACGCTGCACAATTACTAATAATTGTCCAATACTCGTAATTGCATTGAATTCTCATTGAACTTGCAATATTGCAGTTACATGTGACTTCCCGAATGATTCGACATGAAAGATTTAGGACGCCATCCCGAGCCTTATACGTTTCTTGAGATATTCTATTTTCTTTCGCCCGCGACATATATACTTCCATTTTCTTCTGTCCTTGACAAGGATTCGCCTGTCAGACAGGGTTATTCCGATCAAGGACACCCGTTGCTCACGCAATATATACAGAACGGTGTAATTCACTCGCTCGCTCGCTCGCCGTGCTTGAAATTTCTTTTCCCCGTTGAACGAAAAAGACATTTGTTGAACGGGAAAGGTCAAGTTGTTACGTAGAGATATGGCGATGAAGATAGATCTAGTCTATCGATTGTAGTGAGCGCCGAAATCTCTTGGACTTTTGCACCGAACTTCAAACTATAAAGATGGTGAAGATTACACTGTAAAAATTGTGCTTTCTAGGACGTATTATTTTTCGCAAATGCAATCACATTATACAAAAAAGTGTAAAATAAGCATTTTGAAAATTTAAATCTTGTTACATAATACGACTTTTGTCTGAAGTCTATAAAAGAATTTAGTTTTAGAAGAGTCGGTTTCATTACTTTCCAAATTCAATAGCAACGACGTTCAAACTTAAAATAACCAATTCTCAAAGTAACATTACACTGTTTATATATATAAATTTCTTACGATTCAGCGAGGAATTCTTGAGCGACGTGAAAGGACGCGCGCATGCGATCGCACCGAAATCTCTTGGATTTTTGCACTGAACTCCAAACTATAAAGATGGTGAATTACACTGTGAAAATAGTGCTTTTTAGGACGTATTATTTTTCGCAAATGCAATGACATTATACAAAAAAAGTGTAAAATAAGCATTTTGAAAATTTAAATCTTGTTACATAATACGACTTTTGTCTGAAGTCTATAAAAGAATTTAGTTTTAGAAGAGTCGGTTTCATTACTTTCCAAATTCAATAGCAACGACGTTCAAACTTAAAATAACCAATTCTCAAAGCAACATTACACTGTTTATATATATAAATTTCTTACGATTCAGCGAGGAATTCTTGAGCGACGTGAAAGGACGCGCGCATGCGATCGCACCGAAATCTCTTGGATATTTTTGCACTGAACTCCAAACTATAAAGATGGTGAATTACACTGTGGAAATAGTGCATTTTAGGACGTATTATTTTTCGCAAATGCAATGACATTATACAAAAAAAGTGTAAAATAAGCATTTTGAAAATTTAAATCTTGTTACATAATACGACTTTTGTCTGAAGTCTATAAAAGAATTTAGTTTTAGAAGAGTCGGTTTCATTACTTTCCAAATTCAATAGCAACGACGTTCAAACTTAAAATAACCAATTCTCAAAGTAACATTACACTGTTTATATATATAAATTTCTTACGATTCAGCGAGGAATTCTTGAGCAATGTGAAAGGACGCGCGCATGTGATCGCACATGAGATACCAGCGGCGACAAATCAAAGTTACGGGCGGAATGGCTGCTCCACTACGCCGTTACCCGAGAGAGGATGTTTCCGTAAATCGAGAATACGAACTTTCGACGACGAACTGCAGACCGAAGGTGCTGCACAAAAGAAACGATGAAGAATCGAAGGAAAAGAGATGTAGAGTGAGCGAGCGAGTGAGAAAAAGAGAGACGGGGTGGTGAGGGGGGGGGGGGTGGAGGGAGGAAGAAAGAGATGGAAATCGGGGATGACTGAGTGAATAAAACACCGTGTGGAACGTCAACAATGGGCGTGTTCGAGTACTCAGGGGACGTTGAGATTGGATTAAAACTCAAAATCGAGTTGTCTTCTCTTCTCCTGTGCTCGCTCTCAAATTTACTTTGTGAACTTTCCATATTCCCGACTCATCGCGATACGTTCCGTTCGCGTCTATTCGCGGCAAGAGGAATGACGCCTTTATTTTCTTCCGAACGGACATCGGAAGTTGTCGAAAGACAACGACGGAAGACATCGATGGACTTTGGAGTCTACGAAGTGTAATCCTATTCTCTTTGCATCTTCGGTGCCGGTCAAATGACCGCGGTGGCGATCAGAATCCCTTTGATGGAATTTTCAAGTCGAATAGGATTCTCCTTTACTTACGTACTTGATCACGGCACGCCGAGAACTTGCAACGAGTAAAGTTCGTCCGGGAGTTGCCGTCCAACGACGAGAAACAGTAAGACAATATCCGCCGTTAGATGGAAAGATGCTTTACATCCCTTCTTATTAGACGCGACCTTTTACAATGACAGAAATTAAATTCGATTCCGATTGCGCAACAAGGGACATTTACCTTACCTTTCCTGCTGCGATTTAATAATAGAGATTCCCGAGCGCTAGAAATTTTAAAGGGGATGCTTAGGAACTCCGTAAATAAAATTCTAAAATTAACTCTCGATTTATATATCATTTGAATTTTGTCCTTTTTACGCTAAAGACTTGTTCGACCAAGAATACCGCGACACTATGCAAGGATTTTTATACCTTGGTCTTTACTTTCCAAAATTAACGCACAGTAATTAACGTACAGTGACGATAATTGTGAACGATTACTAAAGATACACTTACCAATTTTGCTATAATTCGCCACATACGTAACATGTCGCGCGGATTATCATCTGCCTGTGGTCTTCGTTATGTTGTAACTCGCTCGATTAACATTTCAAACGCCATATGATCGCAAATCGCATACCAAATGATGAATGTGAAATAGTCATGAGCGAACGTAATTAGAATTTCTCTCGCAGTCACGTGACCAGATTTCAAACTGATGTAACGTTAGTTGTAAACGAGCGATCTCTTGCGTATTTAAATTGACTATTCCCGATTTCACACTTGAGCTCCATCCGGTGAGCAAAGCCCAATTCTCTCGATTGCCATCGCCGCCAACTATTGACAATTGATATTGATTAATTACAATCTCGACGACAACAGCGCTCCGTCTTCGTTCTTTTGGACGTGTTTGCGTCATGCACAATGCAATCGCGCGGTATAGCTAGAACCCCATTGATCGGAAGTGCATATCGTCGAAACGAGAACTCAGCATTCATACCCTGAGTTATTATGATGTAGGCGACATTATGCCTCGCGCACGGTGAGTTATGTGTAAGGAGTAGCGCAAGAATGACTTGTCATACGTCTCCCCCCCCCCCTCCTATTACGATATACTCAACTCGAGTTTTGATGAATATAATATGTAAGAAACGTTCTTGCACAGGACTCGGTCTTCCACAAATTCGGCAAATAAATAAATTTACACGCAACGAAGTAATAACGTGTTTCTAATACCGCGAAGAATCAGATTATTTCATACATTTTAATTTCTATTACTTTTTGTCTTACGGATTGACAGGATTTAATTTTGCAAGACTTTAATAACGTAAGGTTTTAAATTAAAATCTTTTTATTATATGGAACTAAGATTGCTTTATTTTATTTTTAATTTAGACACACACGCACACATACACACACTCTCTTTTTCTTTCTCTCGCAATGGCGTTCGTGTTTGTAGCAAATGAAGAAAATGCGCACTACAAGTTCTGCGCAAATGATTGATTGAACAATGTTGAAACTGATTCCTTAGAATATGACGATGTTCGGTCATATCGTTGAGTCGATTGGAACACGATCGCGCGCACGTACACACGGACGCGAGTTTTTCAATTAGTTTATCTCGTACCGAGCAGTTTCAAAGACAATTTAATGCACTGTCAAAGCAACTGGTTGCGCCAAATTGAAATGCGCAATCGAGACGTATCCCATAGGAAATTGAGAGAAACGTACAAGGAAGTATTCCCCCACGGGCATACTATGCGTAACGACTCCCTGTTACTCCACTTTAGAAACGAGAAAAATTTTGAATATCCATTTTTATCTGACCGTTAAGGATTACAACGCGAGAATTCCATATTAACGGATGGGAAATACCGCGCGGAGAAGGGAGGGACGGGGGGAGAATACTGATAATTTGTCGTCGTGTTTTCATTGCACATAATTATCGGACTTAGGAAGTTTCGCCAGTTGGAAACTTCGTTAGAAGATCTTTACCGTAAGGAGCTTTGCGTAAGCTTTTATAAATCCCCCTGCATTAAATATAATCGGTTATCGACGAAATGGATTAGAGCGCCCAGTGGTCGCGGCGAATCGATAAATTTCTTTCGACAATGAGAATAGTTCCGTAATTAAATAATTTACTTACCTTTCGGCGGACGCACCACTTGACTCCATTTTCTTCTTACGGATCGTAATTTCTCCACAACAAGAACAGCCGTGGCAATTAGGGGACCTCGGGAGTAAGCAGGCCGGTAAAGAATAAGACGGTTGCGAGTTCTTTTTATCTTTCTTTTTTATAAAATCAAGTCATAGCGTACTGATAGATTTTTAATGTCAGTATACATAGTTTACTCTTGTTTCTTGATCTTCGATAGCATACCCGCTCATAATAGCCGCTCGATCCATCTCGGATATTCAATAGTCACGTCGAGATCGATCGATCGACCCGCCTTTGGTGCACTGTTGAGAAC